AGTCGCAGGTGGTGACCTATGAAGTCGGGTGCTGGTATACATGGGCGCATGGTCTGCATGGGTTCACTCTGAGATTTGCCGTGCCACGCCTTCCTTCGCCGTCGCACGCGGGGCTTTCGGAGACCGCCCAGGCGATCTCCGTGCAGACGGAGCGACACCGCGCGCTGGGCGGAAATCGGCCGCATATCCTCACCACGAGCCCCGGAGCAAGGCAAAGATGACCCAGACACTCCATGTTGGTCAGCCTACATTGACCCCTCAAACCACTCCAACTGATCCGTAAATATAGCAAACGTGATCATACATGGAGTGTTTGGGTGATAGGTTGCCACAAGAAACCTTTGTCACGAGTCATTACCAACGAAGTCAGGATTGTGATCACATGGTGAGAGTTCAAACTCATACGGTACGGATACAAACCGGGGTGAGCCAGGTTTGTGCTAGATAGGGTTTGTGATTCTATCCAATTTGAGTATAGGGCCAAGAATCTTGGATTTACACAAGAGGGCCCAATACTGGAGACAGTGAAAGCAAGAACAACATTGATGTATACATCTACCGACATGAGAGCCGATCTTCACACTGTCCAGTTGCATTTTGTTCCTTCGAAGTGATTCATTCTTGGAGTTGCCACAACTCCGATTTCTGTCACTCGAGTTCTGCATGTTTCTTCCCAGGCACGGTGTCGAGTTCATCGCAGAGCCCGGCCCCGGCGTACACCCCCTGGACGCACGCTCGAGCTCCACGCTCTCACGCTCACAGCCACGGACTACTGGCACCGTGCGGGGAGATGGATTAGATAAGACGCATAGGGATCATGCCTACAATTCTGCGCACATGTGCCTTGGAGAATGAGGGACGAGACGGGCGAACTGGGAATTTGTGGTCTACCAGGGGCTGAGGAGAGAAATTTAAACTATATAAAAAGAACTATACCTATAACCTCTTCTTGGGCAGAAATTTCTGCCTATTATGGGTAAAGGCGACTTTGCCCGTGCTTAGGCGTTCTTGCCCCCTGTAGCCGTTCTTGCCCCCTTTGGGCGTTCTTGTCCTTTTGGTGGCATTGCTCAAATAGATGAGGATCCACCCACCACTGGTTCCAGGAACTTTCATAGTGAGGTACATTTGTTTGTCAGGAATTCACTCAATGTTTCTCTTGTGATCTCTTTTGTATGTATTTAGTTTGTCTATGCTTTGATTCATTGCTTTAATATCTTTTTGCGTAGGTGTTCTTCCTGTCACTTAGGCGTTCTTACCCGTTACTTGGGCGTTCTTGCCCGTTACCTAGGCGTTCTTGCCCGTTCCCCCCTCACTACAATCAGTAGTTGGGCGGACAGCGGAATGGTAGCCTTTTGGGGGGGAGTGAGCGACATGAGTTTCAATAACTTTAGACTGGGGATTAGCGTCAAGTGGCAGGTGTGTGGTTTCTCAATTTTCATCATTCAAACTCTGGCTCTGCCTCCTGCGTGTAAGAATGCATGTGATTCTCCCTCGGCGTTTTGGACCCTCGAGGCTGCAGCTTAGGCGTTCTTTGCAAACACGGGCTGAATTTTCTGCCTAAATGGCGTTGGGGGGAAATTATTGCCTAACGAGGTTCTAGGTATATACCTGGTACCCCTGAAGAGTGATAATTATCACTCCGTTTTGTAATTATCAATCTTTTGGACAGTGTGGTGTGACAAAAAGCACTCCGGAGTGAGAATAGTTGCTCCAGAATGGTGTTTGTTGCTCCGCAACGTATCTTGAACGCAAAGCAAACGTTAATTGAACGCAAAGTGAACGCACTGCGAACGCAATCTGAGCGCAATTGCGGTTGGACTGATTTTTTCCACTCCGGGGTGCTTTTTGTGACACCACTGTCCAAAAGATTGATAATTACAAAACGGAGTGATAATTATCACTCTTCAGGGGTACCAGGTATATATACACAGTGTTTTGGGTATGTGTTTTTTGATTCTTGTATGTTGCTTGGAATGATAAGATGATAAGAAGAAGCTAGACATGGAGCAGAGGATTTGGAGGACTTGAAAGTCAGTGGACTGCGACACCCATGTGCCAGATGTGCCAGATGTGCGAACAGGAGTTCTAGTGAAATGGTCAGAATAGGGAGGGTGTCTTCATCATTTAGTCCAACATGTTTGGTCATACTCGTAGATTGCCAAGAAGACCCAAATAACTTCACAGTGGAATGTGATCATAATTTAAACATTTGTTTAATGTTGCACGACTGAGTTGTTCCAGGGGCGTGCATGGGCGTATATTTATGCTGTATACAATGTTGAGTCGAGTCGTCTAAAATATTTGAGTGCCAGACACTGAAACATCAGGGACCCTGAAGAACATGACACCAACCGATCACTCCACTCCCATGCCCGCAGCAGTCTTCTTCGAACTCGGGTGGACGAATGCCAATCGGTCCGATGTGATGCGTTATGTTTTGGCAAAATCCGAAGACGTCCAGCTCGACAGTACAGAGTATCAGGAAAATTGAAACTTGATGTGTGTGTTGATCAACCAACCAACCAACCGGTACATGTTTGGAAGAGAAACTGCACTGGAACAAGTGACAGAAGCGGATCATGTTGATCACTTGGATCACGACCTGAGTAGTTCACTCCAAGAATGAATTTCCACATCTTGTCATGATCACAGTTTTCTCCCTGCTGCCGCGCACAACACACAGGAATTCTGAAAAAGACTACCCACGTACCCCACGTACCCCACGTACACCACGTACCGGGCCTCCACCGGTCGCCCGGGTATCAAACCCATCCGCCCTTTCCTTCCGTCCGCGCTGCGTTCGACGGATCGCCCAAAGGTTTGGGCACCATGATGTTCGGAACAATATGAACCCGTGGCTGGCTCACTACCGGATACCCAAGTGGGAGACCACCAGCCGCCCGGTTTCAGAAGAACGGGAGAAGGAGAAACGTGGCGAGATGGTTTGGGTGGTTTCGATGTGGTTTTGTGATAGTCCAGAACCGGTTGTGGGAGACATACGCAGCAGATCGTTTGTGTTCATGATTTGTTTAAGTCAATGTACAAAACGGCGAAGAGATAGATTGAATAGCCTGTACGGAACCAACATTCACGTACTGTGTGCTAAGGACTTTACACTACAAAACTAGGTCAACCATTGTTTAAAGGGTCGTGGAAGGCTAGGGATAGGGCCTAGACCCAGTTCGACCTCTTGTCAGAAGGACCACTTAAGCTTTGTCCTACGACACGAACACCCATTGCTTGGGGACTTGGGCCTTGGGGGAGAGGTTCTCCCCATTTCAGTGTGGGAGGTCTTGGGAGGTCTACCCATTTAAGGGTTGGTGATTGTTGATGATGCCGTGCCCCATGGCTCACTTGCAACCAACCCTCGCAGCATCCTCCCCTTGCTGCCTATTTCCCAGTCCTAAGGGTTGGTAGCACTGGTTGACCAAGCATCATTTGCGGGCTACCCTTTGTCTACAGGAAGATACTATATTGTACTGATGCCTGCCTTCATGATCTTCATGATTTGATATTGATTTTGAGCGCATCTCCTGCAGATGGACACCAGTTGTTACTAAAGGCAGAATGTACGTGCAACTCCGTTCTTTTCCCTGGTTTCCCACTCCATCCACTGCCAAGCAGTTGATGACTGCAGGCAACCAAGCAACCAAGCAAGCAATCAATCAAACTACACTCTGAGTCACATGGAAGTGGATGGCACCACCTGTTTGTATTCACAAAGTGGTCATCCAAGGGGCCATGCCACTTCCATGATTATTTAAGCGAATGTAGATGGTTGTCTCGAGTCCAACATTTCGGAGCTTTTGCCAGGTGTAACCCCAAGTTTCACAAAGCTTTGAATGGATTCTGTGGAGCAAGAAACCACCACCAACACCATTTGTATACCGTTTCGAATTGGACCCTGTTTTCATGACCCCGTGGCTTTGAATCGGGATTTGTCGAGCTTGTTTTGTTGTTTCCTTGGCTGCGTAGGGGGTCCTGCCACGTCTTTGTGCTGCGAGGCACAATGTATGGAGAGCACTACCGGCACCCAGAGCAGACCTACACAAGGCCTATCAAGAATCGCATGCCGGTCTTTCACATAAATCTGTAGCATGGGTGGCCCAAAATGATTATGATCATCATGAGTTTGTACATGTTTGATCATGGCAAGTGATCCCCCTAACCTCTAGCGATCAGTCGGCCGCCCTCAGTCGTTGACACTGCAAACGGTGCGGATGTCTCACAATCGGCCACCAAAGGTGGTCAATGTACGCAGCGATGCATCGGAAGAAAAGGACCAACCCACGATACCTATAGACACCATCGTATTGCCCACGTTGGGGTGGTTTCGGGGGTCAAGGGGTCAAGTCGTTGTCAAGGCCAACATTGTGGAGTTTGTTGGATAGATTCTTCAAGTCGTGATGTGTTCTCTACCAGGACCAAGCATTCAGGATCACCATTCTGGCCAATAGTATATACTCATACACTTCATATACACTATAAGTTATTGTATAGTTTATTGTGTTTAATAGTTGTGCTTTCATCAGTGAACCCCGAATGAATCCATTTGTGGACGTTCCCAGTACCTGCGGTAAACGGTCCCTCAGACAGGGCTTTGGTTCGTTCGCGCCCGTTCTCGAGACGAAGAAGATGCTGCGCATGATGCTTACTGGCTGGCAGAAGATTAACAATGTGATATCATGTGACAATGGCATCAAATTGCTAGGAAGAAAGGACATGGGTAATTATATGGAGTCCCTCCAGGAAAAGAGCTATAGATGATTTTACGAGGTCGAGAAAATGACAAGCCAAGGGGGGACAGTATTTCTGTTGAAGGACCTAGCTGAACTTGGCTTTGATCATCGCTGGCCCTTGGTGCATGAATCGACCTATCAATCCCTGGATCAAACACATAGCAGCAAAAGAGCCAAAGAATACTGAAAAATACTGAAAATATAATGAGCTTTGCCAAGTGATTGGCATTGGGCAGTGCAACATTTGCAGACACCAGTGCGATGCGATGTCTTTGGAAAGGACCGGCATGCTTGTCATCGAATCACCAGTTGAACATTCCTTTCCGGACCGTAGGAGACGCACCCCCCCGCAGACAACTTGGCAAATTCGTGCCTTGCAATGCGGTATTTCTGCAGAATGTATCGGGAACTGGGAAACGGATCCAAGCGAAGCACCATCTGAGTACTACTCGAATATGAGCGAAGAGATGTTCAATTGACACATGGATATCGACACCCTTTCCAGAGTGTTTCCTTTGATTTGCTTCTCTGCCCAAGTCTAGCAGTGGCTTAGGAGCATGCCTGATCTTAGCTCTGCTGGCGCTCCGCACGCATGATCTTGCACACCATGCGCATGATTTGGCGTTCTCGCTTTGCGGTTGGGCCACCCAGAGGGGCCCGAAGGGGGAAGGTGTGGGTTAAGGCTGTGGTGAGCTGAGGGGCCTGGCCGAGGGGCCTTTGCTGGTATGTGATGACCAAGTGTCCTTATAAAACATGTGTCATTTGTGATCAATATCTGCCATGTTGTATGAGTTTGGGGTGTAGAGTGTTCATAGCAAGAAATTCCGGATTGCCAAGGTTTGTTGAAAGACGGTGTAAGGTTATCCTAACACGATCACATCGTTTTGACCAGATGATCTAAAAATAGACTTGACAATGTGCCAGCCCAGAGTGAATATGAACTGAAGAAGGACCTGCCTTAAAGAAGGAGCCAATCATCCATTTCTCCACCTCTGCAGTGCTTTTGCAGTGCTGACACGTGCTGACTTCTTCCAAAGGTCAACTCGTTGGTTGGTGTTTCTGGACTCATCAGCTCCAGGAATCGGTTTTCAGTGTCTTTCCCACGGAGCCAAGTCGGAGCGGACAGTCCTGACACATCCGGGTTGCCCGGTTTGGAGGGTTGCCTATATACTGGAGCCACAGCCACCCAATTGCTATATACCACCATATAACTATTATAATATAAAAGGTGGAAGAGTGAATATCCCTTCACATATGCATTGGAAATGCTTGGAGAGCGCGATCATCATTACACATCATGAAGCAACAAAAGCAATCTGACCACAGGTGGGGCTTTGGGCAACTTGGAGAAGAAACACAGTTCAGCACCTTCAAAGGGACCACATGGCTGGGGCTTAGGGTCTCCAGACAGGATATCCCTTGAAGGTCCAGGGTCCAGTGAACTATCCAATTCCTTCATTCCTTTCATCCACCACTTCAGTCCGAATTTCGGATTGCTCGAATGGAGGATCAGGAGGATCTGAGACCCCCCCGTCCACTCTTTCGATGGGTGTTTTTTACAAGGGAGACTCCTCCAACTCGTGGGGACGGTCTATTTCCCAAAGCGACACCGGTCGGAACGCCTGGCAGGTCTCCCGTGTTTAGTGGTGCTACACCCCCATATTGAGTAGTGCTCCACACGCTTTCCGCCCCCAAGGTGCAGCCGACCATCGACGGTCTCCCCGTGTGAAGCTCGGATGCAGCACCAGGCCGAGGGGGCGTGGGTCTGGCGGTGTGAACGGGAGGGTGTTGGGGCGGCGTTGGGTGGTGGTGCCCCAGGTGGTTGAGGGGTGGAGTTCTACTGAAAGATGGGCAATGTACGGCAGAAAGCCAGCTCTCCTTTGGGGGTAGGTGTTTCAAGCCGCTCGAGAGAGGTAGAGACTACACTCCTATAGTCACTAACATGGAAGTGGATGGTACCATCTTGTCGTATTCGGAACATGGTAATCCGTTCTTGGCCATGCCATCCACTTAGCTTCACGTAACCATGATGATGTTTCAGGAAGTGTAGAAATGAATGGCTCGAGATCAAAACGCCCCGAGATGGTTTGAGTGTTTGAATATGTTTGCATGTTGTCTTGACCATCGATTTAATGCATTAATGATTGTCAGTGGTTGCCAGATCCAGCATCCATCCGGCTGCAGGATCCGACCTGCGGAAGATGGGGACATGCCATGGCTCCTTGGTGCGATCTACGGAAAGAAGTGATGAAAACGTCCTGCAAAAAGACACAAAACATGGAAGTGGATGGCAGGCGAACTGCCACGAGTTCGACCATTTTCCGAACACAGGTGACCGGTGGTGTTCGGAATCGGTCTTCCACGTCGATTCGGATTAGGAGCACACGTTTGCAGGGCAAAAGTTCAGCAGTATTGTAGGGCAAACTCCGAGCTGTTTGGCTTCTGGCAAACTAGTTTGCCGCAGAAGATTCGGGTGTTTCATTTCTCTATCAAGTTTGGAGTCAGCCTCTAGTAGAAGATTCCATTGCTACTGAGCGCCGAAGGAGCTTCTGAGAGGATGTGGAGCAGTTGGATCGAAACTAAGGGATCTCATCACCAACTGTTTTTGTTCAACTTATGGACGCTGAGGCCGAAAAAAGACACCTGAATTCCGACCACCTCGTTGTAAGTGTGCCTTCCTTTGTTCTGATATGACCCCATCTAATTGTGCATTGGTGCATCACCGCCTCTTGCCATTGAGCCATCTCTGAGTTCCTATGAACCTGGTCTGAACAAAAGTACCATGCCCAAGCCCGGCAAGCCCTAAAACTGGAAATGGATATTCCAGCCATGTTTCTCTACCGAACAACAGATCATGGATTGTCATCCAACATGTCCATTCAAATAGCAGATCCGATCCAAGAGCTCGAAAAGTTTGCTCAGCTGCTCAGTTTGCTCCATGTCTTTATGCATCAGTTTGCCCGGTCGACCTCAGTGACAACGGTCGACCTCTGTGTCCATGGCGGCGTACGTGGAATGCGAGACGAGTTCGGACGGTCACGGGTCACTGGCGTCGATGGCGTCCAGTGCTGGCCACGAGTTGCACCGGTCCATTCCAGCAGCTCGATGGTGTGTGACTGGCCAAAAGGAGAGAACGGTTCTGTTCAATAGTTTTCATGCAGACTAGTAACGTTGTTATGCAGACTTGAATGATATTTCAAGGCCCCCTTAAAGGATGCAGGTGCTAATGATAGTTTAAGGCCATATGACGAGGTTTGTACATGATGATTGAACCCACACCCAATGACGCTTGAAACTGTAGGGGCCTTCCAATTGCTTTTGGAGAAGGTACAGAACCTGGAAACCATGAAAAAAGGGAAAAGCCTGGAAAGGTGGTTGATTTGCAAGGTTCAAAGGTTCAAACATATTGCAAACCTACATATCCCTAGGGATCCAAGTACCTTCTCAGATGGTAATTGGACCCTCCACACCTACATAACAGTGTCTCCAATCACCTTCTGAGAAGGTGCCGTCCGAAAGTGTCGGAACCAGGAGCTTTATGTCGGTAGGTCTTACATTGAGCATACATTGAAAACCGATGAGGAAAACCCAAGACCGATGCCTTTGTATCATACATACATACATACGTAGGTACGTACCTATACTACTACTACTACTACTACTACTACTACTACTACTACTACTACTACTACTACTCCTCCTCCTCCTCCTCCTCCTCCTCGTCCTCCTCGTCCTCCTCGTCCTCCTCGTCCTCCTCGTCCTCCTCGTCCTCCTCGTCCTCCTGCTCCTGCTCCTGCTCCTCCTACTCCTACTCCTACTCCTGCTCCTCCTCCTACTACTACTGCTGCTACTACTACTACTGGCAAAATTTATGTTGTTCACCAGCATGTATAGACCGATGCCTAACCGATGCCCTAACCAATGCCGCGGAGTGACTTCCAGACACCCGATCAAGGGACATGCCCACTCGAGAGCAGATTTTAGGGTTCAAATGACATGCCCAAGAGAAAGGAACTAGCAGCTGCATATGTGAGGTACTTGAACTTGTGAAAAAGTTCTTTGCTCTGCTGTGCGTTGCTTTGCCATGTCCATGACTATACTTTTGTTTGGAAACATACGGTGTGAAATTCACCAAACATTGGAAACCGATGAGGAAAACCCAAGCCCGAGAAACCGATGAGGAAAACCCAAGCCCGATGCCCTGTCCTAATGACCGCTCCCAGATGTAGGAAATTTTGGACCGACCTCGTGTTTGGATGCCTAAGGATATGTTAGTTGACTTTCCAGCTGAGACGGCTGAGACCGGTCGGACCAGCCCCCCGTTCCTCAACATGAGTTCCCCCGCAGGTGACCTATGCAGATTTCAAGTTCTTACGACGCGAAGTGCTCAGTGCCGTGAAGGAGGGCATGATGCTGCCGAACGGTTTCCACGAACGAACGAACGGTTTTTGCGTCAGTGTTTTGTGCTTCTGTTGTTAGCATGTTTTTTAAGGGACTTATAGGAATCGCCATTGACGTGTTGGAAATCCAAAAGAACGAGGTGAGCTGAAAGTGATGTTCATTTTTGTTTAATCATGCAGTTGATATGTTTGGAGGATCTTGGTGGCTTCAGGAGTTTGAGGCAGAGTATTTGTCATGTTGAAAGCCATGTCAGTTAATATTGTTTGCCAGAGGCATTCCAAAAAGAACACCAGCCAAGACACGTTCTACTTCTCTGAGGTTTGGACCATTTTGATCCAAATGACCGTGTCTATGGCCCCAGCATTTACACGGTGAATGAGCAGTACATCATCCCCGTGACAAGGGAAGCTGGTATGATGAGCTGGGCCTTGATGAGACATCCTGCCGGCTTGGAGTGCGAGGTATTCATCAGCCATGCCTGGCAGGAGGGTATTTTTGAATTGATCACCAAAGTTCAACAGTCTTGGCCAAGAGCTATGCAGAACGTTTCATGGTTGAAAGCGGATGTTCTCCGAGGGACCGGAACGGGGTCGACAGACCGAGCTTGGTGTTCCTTCGAAGTTGAAAGGACTGCTAAAGACAGTCATTTGCAAATCCACCAAAGGTAGTCGATCCCAACATGCGTGTATGCATTTAAATATATATATATAACTATAACAATATATATATATGTGATTATATACGTATGTATGTATGTATGTATGTATGTATGTATGTATGTATGTATGTA